AATCGTTTGCTTGTTTTTATCATTTCAGGTACTCTGAATAGTCAATCGTTCAGCGCAATGCAGGATTTTCCCGAGAGCGATCGAGTCCCAGCCTCAGCGCTATCCTAATTTACAAGCGCTTCCGTATATAGGTTACGACAAATCATTAATGACTCTTTTGTAGTCATGTTTGATCAGTTTTCCGGATGTGAGGCTAGATCAGGGCCCGATGCAGCTGGCAGAGGGCTCTTTGCCCCCGGAAATGTCACGCGCTAGTATTTCTTCGCAGATGCTAGTACAAGGTGAGTGTGTTTGCTCGGAATGGGCGGGCCTATGTGATTTTTCAAGGACGAGTCCCCAAACTTTTCGTGATGCATGCTCGTACTGATTCCTGGACACTGATTATTATCCTGACGCGACTTTGACTTGATGAGTTATGTAGGTCTTCACTGACTCCTGTCCGGGGGTATCCATGCCTCCTTCACCGCCTCTTTCTACCCGTCATGCCCCACAAGCCCACATTTGAGTCCACACTAAGAGGACCCGTTAGACCGTCATCTCCGCCCAGCCAAGACCTGATTGTTTTCGGGTGCGTCGCTGCAGGGAGGAATCCCAAAGACTAATGGTGGCGGGGCTCTCCTAATACCGACTTTAAGGCTAGATGCATAGACATGGCTACCTCTCTGATGCCTCCACGGAGGCCGCCCAGCCAGGAGTAGCAGATCCATGTATCTGTAAGAGCGTCCGCCAACCTTCCTTGGCCTCTCTGTGTCGCAAGAGAACATCGGAAAAGTCTCGAAGAGGAGTTCCAAGTGAGAGGCTTGGCCCAAAAGTCGTTTGGAAGATGGGGGATTCCCGTAACTCATGTAATTCGCATAGTCCCCGCCGCTTGAATAGCTGAACGGATGGATATTTTACTGCTATGGTGGGCTTTTCGTCTGGCTGGCGGTGGGTAGAATACGCAGGGTATGATAACAGTTTCTGTGACTACCGTAGTGAGGTTTGATAGCGCGATATCTTTCTCTTTCCCAGCGTGAGCGTTGGTGCTGGCGATACGAGCGGCACTGTTCCGGCTGGGTGGCGCAGTGGTATAAACCCCAGACCAGGCTCCTGGGTGGAGTGAGAGAAGCTTAACCGCCAGCTCTTTTTTTTTGACTCATATTGTATTCAGCTAATTAGCCACGACAATTCAACTCTACAAATTAATCTTCTAGTAAAAACTAACAAAAATAAATCTTCCCATATTTTGTACCAAAGTACACCCATTCCTAATCTTTGTTTGCCGAATATATCCCCTTTGTGTAATGATATACACTTGGAAGTTTGCAAAAATTGTAGCCAGGCTTCCCTTCCTCTTTTAGTTCTTGAAATTATTGGAAGTGTTCTTGGCTGCCTATGAGCAAAGGCAAGTTCTCGTTGTTTCCTGAATGTTGTGTAATGAAGGATCAAATGCTTTGTTGTCTGCTTTTTTGAGGGGCTGATTCCGCCAGCTCTCTCGCCGAGGGAGAGATGACTGCCTTCTGCGGCCAGGGAGAGGAAAACGTCTATTAAGCCAATCAATTGCGCAGCAGAGCCGGCAAAGACGAATTCCCCACCTTCCAGTGGTGCCGGTGTATTTGTTCAGTATGTCTGGGATAGCCAAGTGGCATCAATGTCGAAATTAGCCGCGAGTTCGTCTTCAATTGACGACTTCTCCATCATGCAGCACCTGCCAGTCTCCTCCGAGTTCGCAACCTCGTTCTAAATACACATCTTCTCGCCTCAACGACCGATAGGGGAGTTGCTCCAGTAATACCCCGTCATCGCCCACTACGAACTTACGAGGCAACGTATCCCTGTGAGGAGGAGATGAGGACGAAACATACAAGACCCGGGTCCTCGCTCATGGGGCTAAACACGTTGAGGAAGGACGGGCGACTGGGGCGTGGAAGAGACGTATTGCGGGATTGATAGGACTGATGTTCTTGAGACGTTTTCGACTCTGGACGTTTGTGGGCGCCAAGGCCGAGATTTCGGCAAATTAGCCACGGGACGTTAATTGTCGATGAGCCAACGGCAGAAAGGAGGCTGGGACAAGCTGCCCCTCAGCAATCACGCCCTCGAAAGACGTTTCCTACATTTCAGCGCGACCTTTGGAAAAGAGGCTAGAAAGGCAGACTGTGAATTTCGCGAGGCGCCTCAAGTCTGCAACGCCAGCTGGCCGGCATCTTTGCACGCCTCAGATGAGTCACGATGTTTTCGGAACCAGTCCTAACGTTGGTATTGGAAGAGCCCCGCGCATTCAGTGGTTGTCGCGATCCTTCCCGCCTGCCATACACCCGCAAATGGCTATTGTTTGGATGGTAGGAGAGGGGAGCCCTTTGCCCTTCAATGGGCTCCCCTAAGCGTGTGGTCGAACGAGGGGTGGTACGGTTTGAGGGGACATACTACTGGCATAGGTCTCTTTGGTCCATAGGCAGAGAGGACGGGCATGTGCTACATAGTTATACACTCAGACAGGACTCTTGAATGAGTAGAAAAATTTGCGCCTCAGAGTGCAAGGAAGATGGTACGCCTTTGGCCCCACGTCGCAGGGTGTGGGAGTACAGGAGGGGGCCAGTTCCACACCGGCAATTCCAGCGCACGAGTGCAGGCGACACTAGAAGCACTGCCATGGTCGGATGGTGCAGTGGTACATCATCTCGGCCGGTCTCCCATGTAGGGTCTGGACGACTAGCACACATATCCCACGCGAGATAGGAGACGGCTGCTTCGAATCCGGCAAAACACCCTCACATTTCTCGCGGCGCTGGTACACAGAGATGACAAAGACATGCTTGGATTATCAAAGGGATGAATTTCCCTAGGTGGATACTCACGGAGGAGGCTCGACTGTTGGTATGAGCAAACACACCTCATAGTGGTGTTTGCGAGTGAAAGCCAGAGCATCAGTAACTCCAACGTCAAAAGAGTCATGCGTCATGTCTACATTGCACCGGTCAGTGACAGAGCTAGTAGCTGCATACAAATTAAATGATTTCAAAAAAACCAAGACTTCACCGCATGCCATGTGGCGCGCGTCTGTGCAGAGCGAGAGAGGTAGGCTTCAGGGTCGGCGCCTTGGAGGCCACTTGCTGGGCACTCACAGTGGCGGATCGAATGATTGTGTGGGCAGGTCACTTGGCCGTGTTTTCGGCTGAGCCACGCAAAGCGAGACTTGGATCAAGGGTCACGATGAATGTACTCTCGCCACTGATCAAGAGCCGTGCGAGACGACCGAGCATGTGTTGCCTGAATGACGGGGGCCGAAATCTCTGCACGTCTTGTCCTCGCTGGAGGGGCGCGATGGCGCGGCACTGCCCATCGCCTTCACTCCTCTGCACCACCAGGTCAGGTGGCCGGGCCCGTAGGCGGAGTGAGGATGTGCCAAATGGGCTTCCATCACGCGCAACATGTCGCGGTCGGGGTGCGCGGCGAGGTGTGGCCCGCGACAAAGGAGTCCGATTCACTAGGCTGTGCCGTGACGAGCCAAGGGTGTGAGCAATGGAGGAGAGATGGTGCGTGGGAGAGGCTTGCCTCCTATTCCTCCCTCTCACTCCAGGAGGCCCTTGAGCGATGGAGATGGCAGCATCTCTCCTGACCTCTAACGCGCTAGACCCCGAGACCCTGCGCCTCACTGCCAGATCACGAGCAGTGGCCAAGGTCACGCGCCATTGACCATCTCATTCCGTGCCGCCTGACCTCTGGCGCCGTTGCTGGCCAGCATGCGGCACGCGCGCCTGTCGGAATTTCACCCAGCGACCGAGGAGCAGCTTAGCGAGCCGCTCTCGCGCCATCCAACCAGAGAAGAGGGGTTGGTCATCGCCGACCTCCAAGTTCTATCCAAGGCGCGCGCGCGCGCGAGCCAGATGTGGAGTGTAGGGAAGGCGGGCACATGACGGTCAGGCCGTAGTCAGGACAGGAGGCTAGGGTCAGGTGTGCAGACTCCGTGCGCTTCGTCGGGCGAGCGAGCAGCAGGTGGGTCTCTAAGCGGCACCAGGGCGGACCCAGTCTCAGGTCTGTCTGCGGGCCCATACCACTGCCCACGGCGGCGCACCATCTCGTCCCGAAAGATGCGCCTGTTTGGCACTGCTACGGAAGCCTCGACATCTTGCGCCTCTCAGGACGCTGAAAGCGCCACGGCCGCTGGTATCACGCCTCCGCCCAACTCAAGAGCCGGCATGAAACATCGCTTGGTCAGCGGGTGGACTGCAGGAAGCACTGGCAACGCGCTTGGAACTTGTAAAGGTCTGTGTGATGATAACGTGTTCAAGCGCGCGTATATAGCTCAGGTGCTCCTTGCCATTAAAGTGGGACGATGTCCGCTAGCCAACTCGATCCGACGCGGCCCCACACGTGTCTAATTACCTGCAGCTGCGCAAAGTCGCCCAATCAGCTACTTGAAACACAAGAGTCTCATGTCTGCTAGCATTACAACAATTACCCTATTTCCCGTCGCTTCCAAGATGCTTCATTTGGGCCGTCATGTAGTGGAGTCGGTGCTGGCCTCGCACCGACGCCTGGGGAGCACGAGCTTAAACATATCTGCAGAATTGCTATTATTTGTTGTATCGAAAATTCAAACTACTCAAATGGAATACTCCTACTCATACACCTAAATCATCCATCTAATTATTAGTACGTAATTCCATCCTGTGATGTGGCATTTTCAACATCCTTCTCCCTCCAATCCACATACAACTGTCCCTTATCTCATTACACTAACCACACCTTGCTTAGCTCTGCATGTCGTCTACTCCAGCTGACGTGTCTGGCTGAGAGAGTTCAGCTCATAACACGTGACCCACACTATGTCATTCTTTCCACACATCTGCAGGCTGAATCCGCTCACAGCCCTGCGAGATGCTCTGAATTGTCGAGGAACAATGACGCATGCAATGCATGTCTCAAGGACCACATTGTTAGTGGGTCGGAGCAGTGACTTGTTACAAAGATTGGGATGAGCTCATTTGTGACTAACGTTTAGCAAATTATACGACAGCCTAACATGAAATCGGAAGCCATCTAACCGGTATCCCCTCCGACGAGATCTCATACGGCTCAGTGGAAACTTTCCTCGGGGGCAAGGCCATTCTAGCGCGTCCAGGACTCTGTCGGTCCAGCTTGCCCCGTTTTCTCATCAGCATTTCCATCACAGCTACCCTCATAAAATCGCCATTTTCTCGCATCTCCCTTGGACGTACAAAAGGCTCAGAGCTTGAGGTATTTATACCAGCCTTGGTCTTGGTACGTTGACTAGATTTATGCTGTGCCATTCGCCTGGGAGAGCGGGAGTTGTGATAGGTTTGAAGCTGGATAGAGGAGATACAAAGTCTCTTGACAGTTTTACGGTTCAGGGACATGGAAAAATATTCCTCCAGTGGATCATGGCAAAATGGATTCGAGTATTTACTAAACGTTTGGGTTGATGTGTCTTCCAAGCTCTTCAAGATATTCTCAGCCATGAGGGCGGTTGTGTAAGGGTGACGAAGAGATGGCTTTTTCTGAAGTTCTCTTGACGTGCTAGAGTGGCTAGAGATTGAAGTCAACTTCCTAGTGGCAGCTTTCATTGCCCGAAATGGGGCATAGAGAGTCAATTTTGTCTTGGGACCATTCTGTACAGGCGAATCACTCTGGGTTGTATCTTGAGATTTACTATTCGGTTCAGTGACAGTCTTCGCATCGTTCTCGAGCTCCGCTAGTGGGTGATGAGTTGGAAGACAGTATTCGAAAAGGCAACTCTGTGGTTTCAAACGTGGTGATCCTCGGTGGAGTCTTGACTTGTATTCTGTGATTGCGCTAGAATCCTTTGATAATTCGTCTGCGTTTAGATTGGCGGGAGTTGTGCTGTCTTGTGATGAAAGAGAAGAAGAAAGTGAAGGGACTGGCTCGATGCCATAATCTCTGTTTAAATTAAAATCACTATCGGGGGAACGAAGGAGAATCTCCAGATGGTCCTTTCTTAGTGGAGCGTAGTCATATATTTTCTCCGAAACTCCCGCTTGGTCGAAATCTGACTCTATGCCTACCGTCTGCTGAGGTCTGGCCCGACCACGCGGCCTGGGCTTTTTGAGTGGCGGTATTGACGTTATGGCTATGAGAGTAGCAAAGTTTGGTGGTAGGCTATCATGAGAATAGGCCCTCAAGTTATATCCATTATGCGGATGATCTCTAGTTCTCCTGCTCTGGTTACTTGCCAGCTTCAAGTTTGGTCCTCGGTTAGACTTTTTATTCATGGACAAATTTGTTGTCGCAGTGGGTGTAGGGCATTTGGCTGCTTTGGATGTGGCATGGTCTCTATGCAAGTGAACACACGAACGTGCTTCTGGTAGGTGATAACATGGTGGTGAGGCTGGGTAAAAGGCTGGAGCAGGTCGCGTATAGGTCAACGCTTGGGGTTGTGAATGCGCCAACATGCTCTAATTTGCGTTTTCAGCGTGTCGATGCGTTGCTTGATGGGTGAGGCGAGAGGTCAAATGTACGAGCTTTCAGATCAAGAGATGCCTGGGACGCGCTTGCTTCACTTGTCGAAAAAGTACTCTGGACAGGGACCAGCAGAAGCAGTTCAAGGCAGAGTTCGGTTTGATGAGGTTGATGGGGCGGCATGGCACGCAGTCAGCGAGGCCACGGGGATTCTTTGAAGACTTATCGCTAGCAAGTTGGTGGATAGATAGTCTTCGTCAGACCGAGGGGGGAGAGAGAGTGAGTGTGGGTAAAATGTTATAGGATAAGCTGAGTAGGAGTCGGAGAGGGCTGGAGTAATATCATGATAGATAGTTGGAGATTGCTGACGAGGGGAATGGCAGGTCAACTATGCACAGCCAGCGTGGGAGCGAGATTAGAGACGAGCACTGCGGGGCCTGAGGGATAACGTCAGGATTAACCAAGATAAGGGGGTCTCGAACCAGCCTTATATTTACAGGGGAAGGATAAACTAAAGATCCGCGGCCAAGAAGCCTCGGCGCAGGGATGAAGCCCTCATGACACTTGATGCGGATAGGCCGAAATGGTGGCCACCAACCAAATCTTTTGGAGCTGACGCGACGCTGGATGAAAACACGAACCAGTTCATTTCAGAGCGACGGTCGCGTGTGGGAGGGGGGGAAGGATATGGCGAGAGCTTCCAACGGTGGAACACGACGAGGGGAGTAGACGCAGGCCAGAGGTGTTGGATGACAGGAAGACGATCATTGACGGTGCCGCTACCCGAGACAGAAGCTTCCAACAGACTTGCCCAAGATGAAAGCTAATAATGCACCCCAAATAGTATTGATGGAGCAGGCGCAGGCGCGCGCGCGCAGACAGCTGGATGAGCCTCTAGCGCCGTTTGCGGGAAAATGGTAGAAAGAAATCCTCTAGAACCGGATTCTGACAGGGCAACCACTGGTAGTTTATTGATGGTAACCTACCACGAATCTACGATAAGACGGGTTGCTGGTGTGTTCAGGCGCTGCAGGGAGAGATTTGTGAAAACCGGGTGAGTTTGATCAGGATAAGTGTGAAAAATGACATGTACGGGGTAGTGTGTTGCTGGTGCAGTGCCAGCCCTTGTACCATTGAATCGGTCAACCATCCCGAAATAACGAGGTGGCCAAACCGAAGAGCGAGTTCAAATCAGCTGGTAGGCCGGGGTGGGAAGCACTGAACGGACAGCATTCATCAGGTGCTGCAATGGGCATCCGGAAGTCGCTCAGATACCTCCTGGGCCCGTCGGGACATTATTTCACATCACATTATAATCGCGTGTGCAGCCGTCTAGCCGCGACACAAAAACAGAGAAAAAGTATAGAGCAGATGACTCAATGTCAAAGAAGAGCACTCATGCCTCGGACTTCATTTGCAAGTATCACTGCATGGTGACGGTGGCCTTTTCTTCACCCCCAGTCGGCCCTCATCCGTGAATACTGACCCGAGGGAAATTCTCAAGTACCTAGAGGTATCCAGACATGCCTCCATCAACCACTGGCTCTTCTTCGCGCGAGATGGTATCTCAGGCTTCTCCTTCCTGGGTAGAGTGGGTGCCCAGGATACTCAACTATACCAGAGAACTCCATCCATCCTTGTGTTTATATTGTCCGATGCACTCTTGCAATCGAATGGCTGGCGCGCACAATGCTCTCTAGTTTGTAAATCTCCTTGTTGAAATCAAGACTTCACGCCCAGCGGGATTATATTCATCCTTTGCATCATTTAGCCATCTGGTTCTGATCTCTCTCACACCCATTCTAGTCAACTGCCTTGCAGGTTTGTGCGCCGCGACTTCTTTCCTCGCGCCGGTATTAACACCGGCGTGGCCTCGTGTCTGTTGGCCGGCTGGGGCCAGATGGTTGTTAGAGTGAGCATATACTAGGTCATGACTGCAAACGTGATAAGGTTGGGTAAAGTCTTCACCACTAACTAGTGGGCCAAATTGTTTGGTATTGCGAAATTAATCTGCACAAGGACTCACGAGAGCGGTCAAGGCTCGCCTGACGGCCGCTCAAACTGGTTATAGTGGCTGGGCAGCCTACCACCGTCGCTACGATAATGCGACTGCCATATTTTAATGTGAGTGAGCTAGAGCAGACACAATCAGTTGGCATGTCTAGTGTAGGATAGCACTCGCAACCTGGCGGTTCTCCAGGGAGTATGTCCGGGTTGGTCTTCCCACAATCTATATATATACGGAGATTAGCCCTGAGGTTGGCCCGTGACTCTAGTATAACCTTTTGGTCGAGTGGTTAGGCAGCTATCTCATGCATCACTTATCTTGACCCATGTTCTTTAACCTCCACTCCGCACTGTCGTCTGGATAACTCTGAAACTGATACAAGCACTTCTACATGTTCTTCCGCGGCCGGTTCATGCACTATGAGCGATACAAAATTTTGGCACCTTTGGAAAGAGTAGACTTGCACCTTGGCTGGGGAGCCGTTGTCGTAGCCCCCTCCAACCCTCCATAGCTGCTTGGAGGCTTTTCAAGAATCACTCAGGCCTTGCAGTGGAATACGCAGGCTCCAGACACACTTGGGCGAATCGGTACCAACTCCTCTTCATCTGCTTCCCGAGGAAACTCTCTCTTGAGAGAACCCTTCAAGGCCTCATGCTGCACGTTCGGGACATTACGACTTGGCTACGTACCATTGGTTCAGCCATGCAGACGCAAATGTATCTTGCAGCTGCGGCCAGCCCACGGCGCCTGAACGCTTCCTGGAATGTACTAAGCCCAGCCCGAGTCTTCCCCCAGTTCCAGATTCTTTTGGCCATCCGACAAAATTCCATCTAGCCTTCTGCGAGGATACATTCAGCATCGTCAAGTGCTTTGGTCAGACAGAAAATTACTCAGCAACCTGTCCTAGAAATTCAGCTCGAACAACTCTAAAATTCCACTGACCAACACTACACGTCGCAGTCTATCTTTAAGGAGTAGAGCCTAGGATCTAGGCCCCCAAGGGAAACATTGTATCATGTAATGTTGTTTGAACATGGCGAGGATTCGACGTCCAGCGTTGCTTTGTGTTTATGTCAAGAACTCGGCATCTCTTGTGAGGAGTCGCGAGGGCAAGTGTGTCTAGTATTCAATAGGCAGCAGGGCCGTATCTTGGCTTGGCGTCTCATAACAAACTGAATTGTGCAGACATGCCTCAATCGATAGCCTCCGGGCGAAATATAGCCTGAGGCATCTAATTTCCAAGTGGAGCAGGTGCCCGGGCTACTCAAACAATACCCGAGACCCCAATATATCGTTTGCTTGTTTTTACAGTGCCAGCTGCACTCTCCTAAGCGAAGTCTTGGCACACACAAAGCTCAATTCGTGAAACTCCTCTTCACTCTTCAAAATTTCACGCCCGTCGAGATTGTGCCTTTCCTCCACATCATCTAGTGAACTTGTTCTGATCCCTCTCACGTCCATCCCAAAGAACTGTGTCCCACATTTGCGCACCACGCGTTGCTTTCTCCTGCAGATGTAAATATCAGTGTGGGCGTGTATTTAGTGGCTTGCCGAGGCCGGGGAATAGTCGATGAGAGGTGTGGTCAGTGAGAGAACGATTTACCAAGTCAGAATGATTTGTCATGATTGAATACCACATGAATTAAAAAAAAGTCGTAGTGGTAAGCTTGAAGAGGCATTCGTTGGAACTGATTGGTTGACGGTGAGGGTGTTACAGGCCGCGCCTATCTTCCAGATTGGGCTGCATGGTGCAATGGTACAATGGTACACCCTCCGAACTTACAAACAGGGGCCTCAAGCTGCCATATTAGGATGATGGAATGATTTGTTACCACCAAGTAGAGGACACTAATCCTCGTGACGTCATATCCTTGACTCCTGTTTTGGACATGTAACCCGCGCTCGCCAGGTAAAAAGAAACGGGACATTGTTACAGCGAGCCTCTGGGAAACAGGACCTGATGCCTCCCAAATTTGCCGTGGCAAAAAGCTACCGAGAAGACCAAAGACCCGTTGTAATGGAGCCCATGACGTTGTTGGCGCATGAGGAGTAGGACACTGTAAGTAGCCCTTGCTCGATGATTCCGAGATGTGTACAGGATATAGACAGGATTCCCTTTCACATTGTTTAGTAGATAGCCCACCACTGAAAGATTGACATGGTCGAGGAACTTGAATCGTGACCTCGTGGGCCAACTTCTTTGGTATTGCAAATCCGACTGAACTTGGCTATGGGAGGATATCTCACCGTCAGATTCGTAGTGGACATGGCAGAGACAGCTGTTCATTCTTTGCCTCCCAGCATCTTGACGAGTGCTGAGAGAGCCTGATTGACGACGCGTCCGCCATGCGCCTTAGTACGTCCTGATAGACTGTTTTACGATTATCCAGATTTTGCAAGCATCAAGCCTGCACTGCCATTCTCTAGTAGTAGTCTAAACAAGAAGCTCACCGGCTGTAGCCTTGCATGTGGATCCGGATCTATCCAGCTCCGCCTATAAACAAGAGCGCGCTAGTGTGAGGGGAAAGACGCGCTCCACGCTTTCGTCTCTCTCCTTGTATACAGCGCGGACTCATCACACGATATTCGACATATCGATGTTGCCGTCGCCCTTTTATCGTTACATTGAATAACTGCCACATGAAGTAACCACTGTCATTGGCTGAAGCCTATTAAATGTAGGTCTGTGCCTAATAATCAAGGCTTAAATCAATATTTCCCAGTTTAATTCTGGATGTGTCACGCACTTCCCCACACGACTCATTAGGCCTAGTAGGAGTCTGGAACCACCTCATGATAATCTATTCTTAAACGGCGACTTGGATCACTGACATGACGACGCGGCTGTTAGTCGTGAGCAAACTGAGCAACACCTACGAATTATCGTACAATCAGCTTACGAAGATTAAAATAGACGCAGACGCTCGAGTTAATTGTAGGAGACTTAATGACCTATTTTAAGGAGGACAGGAAAGAAGGAGGTGGTTCTGATTCTTGCAAATAAGTAGGCATCTTTTTACCTGTATCTCTGATCTCCGCTTTAAGCTTCCTTCGTATCTAACTCTGAGGACAGTTTGAATAAAACGCCACTTTAAGACCGTCACAGTTACCCGGGCAAAGACTAGACGACAAGGAATTACGAAGCATGAGAGAGCCACTTTGAGAAAGTGGTATTTTCATCAATATTCATATCCTCTCAGAAAGACTGTATTGCCTGGTTTGATAATCAATATCATGGTCAGCTTCGTCAAGCAATAGTGTCAGTGTCTCTTAGCGATCGTTTCCAATATCTTGATGTGTTAACGTCTCTCTCAATGACATTCCAACGTATGCGCGCATTACAATGGCCTGTACTTGAGTAAACCCTCTTCTGGTTGCAACAAACCGTTGAAGCCAATGGAGTACTGGTTACTGGTGATATCCTATTCGTCAAGGCTCGCGAAATCTGGCCTCAAATTCCAGACTACTAAAATCAGCCCACACCTGAATTTTCCGTTTGGTGGCTAGAAAAATTCAAAGTGCGTCACGGCATCTCAAAAAGAGAGCGCCATGGTGAAACAGGAAGTGTACCTGCTATCGCTATTGAAGAGGTCAAGGCTGTCCAGACTTTCTGCAGTCTTCACGACGAGGAGGATATATATAACATAGATGATACAGGTCTTTTTTGGCGATGATCTTTCAGCACTGGGCTCGGCACACACACTGCTCCTGGCATTAAAAAAGATAAGAGTCGTATATCAGTTATCGTCTGTACAAAAGCGACCGGCAATATCAGTCTCCCTCTGTGGGTTATCGGTTATGCGGCATGTCCTCGGGCTTTACGAAGAGTGAATATTGAAGCCATGGGCGTGATATGGAAATGAAACAAGAAGGCCTGGATGACAACAGATATTATGAGAGAATGGCTGACTGCCTTCTACCAGCACATTGTAACCTACCGACGGGTGCTGCTTCTCATGGAAAACTTTTCAGCTCAATTAGCAGCTGTCGATATTACCACCGTGCCTCCAAATATTCAAGTGCATTACCTGCCTAAAAGCTCCACAAGCGTCTATCAACCGCTTGACCAGGGTATCATACAGAACTACAAGCAATACTATCGCAAACAATAGCTAGAGTACTAGCTTAAATACTTCGATAAGGACTTCAATCCTTTTACGGAACTGAGTGTACATGAGGCTATTAGTTGGTCAGTGCGCACATGGAAATTTGAGGTCTCAAACAACACTACGTATGCCTGTTTCTAGAAGTCAACTGTTGTCTGACTGCAGATTCCAATACCAGTTGATCCTCCTGTTGCTATTGAGTCGGTATTTGCAGGTATAGCAAGCCAGATCTATGACGCCATGAGCCTCTCAAATTTCCTCAACCCAGACGACGAGAATATTGAGGTGGAGGCAGCTGAGCCGCATGATACGATTAATCAAGCACTAAATAGCCTCAAGTGCCTACTCAGCTTAAGGAGCATGACTCAGACGCCAACTCCATGGAGCTCACGATACTCATGCGCATGGAAAGAAGCCTCCAGTAGCAGGCAGAGGTTAAAAAAAGTCAAGGAACATTAGATAGCTGGTTTAAATAATATACGAGATAGAGCGATATCACCTTTGATTTGCGAGGAAGCGTGGAGATTTCGTTAAATGGACTTGGTTGTTAAATGTGTTTGTATATACTATCACGTGATCGTGTTCTCCACATAAACGTAATAACGAGTCCGCACTGTAGTGTAAATTCATTTTGGACCCATAATTTCAAAGACCCTTCACAGGGCCGAACACCTCGCCGGACAATCTCAGCTCTACAAGTAGCGGTTCGTGGTAGTTTGTGACTCAAGACTGCCAATGTTCGAAAAAGCTGCAGCATGAGGATCCACCCAGAAAAGCATTCTGCTCATGCCCCGCCAGATCCTCGCATGCGACTGAGGTTTGTCGTACGAGACCCATCAATTCATACTGTTCTATCGCCAAGTGTGATGACCTAATCACGCCTTGTACAAGATTGATTGAGATTACGGACATGTCGGGAGACACTGCATTCGCCGGGTTACGACTTTGATACCCCAGCTTCTCCGATTCTATCCCAAGTGGATGGAAACAACGCAGAGCTCGTCATTCCGACATTTGAACAAGTCGAAAAAATACGCGAGCTTTATTGTATTTGCCGAACCCTGCAAGTCATACAATCTACCGGCAAGATTCTGTCAAAGCCGGAATAATGAAGTTTGACGATGGATCTTCCGAGACTGCACTTTGACGCTTCTGAAGCATGAAACACACAGAAGGATGATCTTGCTGTAGGGGCCCGCTGGATTTGCGCCAAGGATTGAGTGGTTTAAAGAGGGTTAGTCTTTGCTCAGTGTAGACTCTCGGAGGATTCAAGTGGGTAGAATTACTAAACAATTCCGAGCCTATTAATCACAGACATTGTGAAGGCGAGATGCGGGACTTTTTTCTGAGCATACAGTGTCAGCGGGACGTCAACTTTACTCACTGACCTGGAACCTTCAGGGGACTCCAATCACGAAAGCGATGTTAGGTACTCAGGGTCCCTGGAAGTGAGGTGCAGTATCAAGCTTCCATGTGAGAGATTTTCCCGGCGGTCGAGCTGTCTACTCTGGCTAATCTTTTGCCACATCCCTCTTTGTTCAGAGGAAAAGATTCTCGGCTCGGCTGGTTGGAAGAGAAGGGGAGGTAACGAGGAGAAAGTGCTTGAGGCAAACCCTCAAATAAAGAGCTATGGGTACAATACCGCTGGGCAGAAGCCAGCAGGAAGATTTGAGAAGGGCTAAAGTATGCCTAGACGTCACTACTCTCAGACAATTGGCAGATCAGACGCGCATATCTTGGCGTAGTCTTTGAATCAGTTGAACTACTAGATATCATGACTGTGCGCAAATCTCACGATATGTATTACACTAAAGATACGCCAGCTTCTGTGGATATGCAAAGGGACTTTCTAACTAGCTATGATGTCTTACCAGTGTCTTTGGTGCATAAAGCAATACAAGCCTTTCGAAGTTGAAGATTGATCTCCACAAATTATTTCAGAGCCGCGTTATCGATGTCCATGCTCAGTCTACGACCAAGTAAACTAGAGTCCCATTTGCCTGTAGAGTTCGGATTGTGTATTCTCCTACACAGCTCCGCTCATAAGCCTCATTTGATCACACACCTTGCCCCTCGATATTTCCCCTCGTCAGCCACGATAACCCGCACGTTGAGCGCAGTCGACACTTTGAACACCGTCATGGCTAGATGGTGCAGTAGTTTAACATGCGGACCAGTGATCCAAGTAGGTTCTAGAAAGCCTCGACACACATTCTACTTGCGGTATGAGGCCGCTGCTGGTTTTCCAGCAAGAGTAAATCACAATACTTGCAGGACTACGCTGCTTGGATAATCCATAGTTCTGAAACGGGCTATTTTCAATCTTCAACTCATAGTGTATTCGGCTGTCCAGCTATGATCAATTACTCACATAATTTATATCCCTCAAACTCCTTTCTCACAGATAATCTGATCTAATCCTAGCGAATTTCCAACTCGTGTTCCTATCTCCATATCTTTTGTGTGCTACGATGCACATGGATGAGGCCAAATGTTGGGGAAGAGCCTCCTCTCCTGCTTTTGTTCGACGGAATACTGGAAGTAGTCTTTGCTCTCTGAATTCGGCACAGGCCCATGAGCGGGCTGGCAAATCCTGCCTTTTCTGCAAGAATTGCATGGACTATCTTCGACTTTTCCGATGCTGTGAAGGGAGACCCAAGTACTTCCAATCCCCAGCCTTGCCTGGACCAATCCTGATTCTGTCTGCATGCCATGCCCTTGGAATTTGAGGGTTCTGAGGGTGGGAAACGGCGCTTGGAGTGCTGGTGCAGGGTTGCGTTTTTGAGCAGGTCAGGCCCAGTGGTATGTCGCTGAATCAAGTGATGTTGTTAGAAAATAGAATCATTGGGGCTATCAAGTAGGCCACGTTGTTGATACACACTTGACTACAAATTCTGTACTTAGTTTCACTTCGGTAGTTACTTGAATCAATGCGCTCTACAACCTCAATGACTGAGGGCTCATTATTTCCTTAGTAGGTGTCAGTTTGCAACTGAGCGGGTCGAGTTGACCATCAGTTGCTTGGTTTAATTGAGAAGTTATATTGGCGCTGGGATGGATGGTGAAATGGTATATGATTTGTGCCGTTCTCCCGCCTAGAATCTGGGTAGCTTCATTTCACGGATCCGTAATTAGAATTTTAATACTAATTTTAATTCGTGATAAGATGAAGGGATAGTTAATTAAAACCATCAATTTAATGATAGCTTCCCCTATACAATTAGTCATGTAAAACGTCATGTAAGGATATACAAGAGAGTCATGAAGAGAAGGACAAGAACATAGCCATCAATGCGAAGATATTGGCAAGAATTGATTATGATTAATTCCGGCTGGCAAAGGCTTCTACTCTTGTATATAATAGTTCAGCGTGAGAGAGATTTACTCCTCACGCAACGTCTTCTTTGTTTACCCTTTACAATACATTTGTTTACCCATGTCTTCTTCGGGAAGGCCATATATCCATTGCCCAGTTCTTCATCAGCAAGACCCACGTGTAACATCTACTGCAACTAGTTGCCCATTCATCTCTTCCTAGAGCAGACCTGTCATCCCTTTGACCCATTTATTATCCTCACTTACCACCTAGATCTTCGCTAGGCTATACAACGCACCCCGTGGAACACTGCCAAGCCCTCATCCTTGAGACTTCACCTACCCCGTCTGAGACGGTGGAAAGCTGGTTCGCATCCAGTAAAACCCACTCACCCCTCTCTCTTGCGGTGATATTTTACTTGTGGCATGACGATAGCACACTCAGATGAACATAGAGGTTATCACGCATTTCCCTGTGGTGGGTGTGCACGGAAGAGGTTTTACGGCGTAAGGGCTAACCTCGAGTGGTGTTTGCATATGAAATCTGAGTGAGTGTTCAAAACGTCGAATTGATTCATCCTACCTAATGTACCCAATGTACCTATCTTCCGATAAAACCTGCATGTGCCTCAAGACGCCAAATTAGGACATTTGAATAATGTTTCATTTTTATGCAGAGGATTCTAATTTCCAACGCTGATCATAACAACCTATGTTGCTAAGCAACCGCACCCAGACTGCGACATTGATGGGGGACTATTCTCAACACCTGTCAGTGGTGTCCCCTACGAACCTCCAGCTCTCACTGTAGAGTCTGCCGAGCTGAGATTGAATATCACTGTGCTCACTTCGACGAGGATTCCCACTCGCAACCGCGGTCTCAATCGTCTTCACCTCCCAATACAGCTCCCTATCGCCACGATCATGTAGCCAATCACGATCAGATTAGATATTGGCGTCGAAGCCCTTCTCTTCACAAACCTTTGATCACGGAGAAAAAGCCATGCGATGAGTTACCAGAGCGTACTCATCACCCGATACGGCGATGGTTGATTGGATCAAGTTGGCCTCGACTGTTACAAAGAAGGGGGTGTCGCCGGATCAATTGGTGTTGGTATACAGCAGAGCAAGTCCAGAATAAAATCAGTTAAATAATGAAATCTAGAAAAAAGAAGACTACCTACTTCTCGTTGTATACATAGGGAATTGTAGTTGTCAGCGCCGATCATAACAATCTATGTTGCTAAGCAACCATATCCGGACCGCAACATTGGTAGCCCCCGTAGCTGGCTAGGCTCTATATTCCATCCCTACCGTACTGGCGCAGACAGTACAAATACAAGGGATTAATCCCGTAACAGGGGGATATAGTTGAATATGCGTACCTGTGTGGCTCGGCGTAAAGGAATGAATGATCGCGGTCCTGACCCGTTGCATGGAAAGATTTACTACGGGTCCAAGAAGAGGTTCACGGCGGAGAGGCCCTCTACACAGCTTGCTCTTACAGGAGAAATCTAGGTTCGAGAGCTCTTGTTAATCATCTACACCTTGATCTTAGCTTCCGTGGAAAAAGTGCCTGAATTCCACGGGTAAATAATGAGCTAAATGGCTACTCATCACGGGCAATATGTCAATGATCTTTCACTTAACAAAAGAGGCTAGGAGTGGTCTGGGTCAGAAAGGAGCGCGATGGGTTGGATAGTCTAAGACTGATGTAGCGCAACAAACTCACACACACTGCAATATTGATAGGCCCGGTAGCTAGCTAGGCTCTAGACTCCACGCCCACCGTGCTCGTGCCGACAGTTTAAACCGCAGGGAATAATCCCGTAACATAGTGTTTGCGAATGAGCCTCTCCAACGGCAGAACATAGTGTCATGGATAGCTGGATTCAGGATAAATGGGGTTGAGGGAGGATCCGCAGCTATCCGTAGACGTAGAGCTCTCCCACATCGACGCCAGGACTAGTTCCCGGGAGAAGCATCAGTGGCGCAGCACGTCGAATGGTCTAGTCCGCAGCCAGTTAATGCCAACTAATGCGCTGGCCATCACTGCCCAGCCCAGCGAGCGATGCATTCAAAGAGGGCCACGCCTCGGCCGTGAGCTCCAAGTGGCCTATGAGTGCAGGCCGGCAGGCTAGGGC